CATCCGCCTCCCGCACCCAAAGGCAGGCGCTTCCCTCCGACGCCGCGGTGCTGGCGCGGGTCTTTTGCGTCCTCACCCCCGAGCTCCACGCAGACACCCCTCCCTGCCAGGGGACTGACTTCTGACCCGCTTTGTTTCCTCCCAGGTCCGGTTCCGGAGCTGACATGATCGAAGTAGTGGCAGAGCTGAGCCGGGGTCCTGTGTTCCTGGCGGGGGAGGCGCTGGAGTGTGTGGTGACGGTCACCAACCCGCTGCTCCCCACGGCCACCTCGGCATCCAGGTGGGAGTGCTGGCCCTGAGGTGGTCCTCTGGCAGGAAGCCTGGTGTCTGCAGTGCGAAGCCAGAGCTCAGGTTGTCCTGCAGCGACACCGCCACCTTCCTGCGCATTGTGCTGTCATTGGAGCAGCGACTGTTTATCCGTTGGGGTTGGCATAGCTCTCCACTCTGCCGTCCTCCCTCCTCCCCCATTCCCTTTTACCCACAGTGCACTTCTCTATTTAATGGTCTCTTTTTCTTTTTATTGAGCTTATTGGTTAATAAAATCATGTAGGTTTCAAGTATACAGTTCTATAATATCGTCTGTATATTGTACAGTGTGCTCACTACCCAAAGGCAGGTCTCCTTCTGTCACCATTTATCCCCTCTTTGCCCTCTTCTACCTTCCCCACCCCCCTCTCCCTTCTGGTAATAATGGTTTCCTTTTGGGGTCCTGATTTCCTGGCCCTAAGACAGCACCTAACCATGTTGGTCTCTAGACAGTGTGGTGGGGCGTTTGGGAGAGCTCTGGTGAGGTCAGGAACTCCCCTGATGCCTCCTTTACTTCCTCCCACAGTGAGGCTCTGGCCTGGGCCAGTGCACAGATCCACTGCCAGTTCCATGCCAGTGAGAGTCGAGTCGCACTGCCTCCCCCAGACTCCAACCAGCCAGATGTTCAGCCTGAGAGCCAGACTGTCTTTCTACCACACCGAGGTTAGAGACGGGCAGTTGCCTTTGGTGGGAATGGGGCAATTGTCTCTGAAGGTGGAATTTTTAAGTTGTTCCGGCGGGTCATTATAGTCTCCGTGACTTGGGGATGTGGGGGTTTCAGTTGTTGCTTTGGGGATGTAAGACTGTTGCTATCTCACAACAGGAAAAGAGGGATAGCTTACTGTGAGCTGTCATTTGTTGGCAGTGCTTACTGCCCCCACTTGATATGCTAGCCTCATCCAGTACTGGACAATGGGGTCATTAAACTGCAGTCTTTATCTTTTTTAGGTGAGAGGGGTCAGTGTATCCTTTCTACTCCACCAAAAATCCTATTCTGTGACCTGAGGCTAGAACCTGGGGAGTCCAAATCATGTAAGTGACTGTCTCCCACCCCTTCTGAGATTCCCGGAGGGAGGACTTCTCTGGCTGCCTCTGGCTGCCCTGACTACTACTTCCCAACCAGACTCCTACAGCGAAGTGCTGCCCATAGAGGGACCACCCTCCTTCCGAGGTCAGTCAGTTAAGTATGTCTACAAATTGACCATTGGCTGCCAGCGTGTCAACTCACCCATCACACTACTCAGGGTCCCTCTGAGGGTTCTTGTGCTGACTGGTAAGTAAGGGTTCCTGGAGGGAAGGGCTAGGGAAGAGGCTCACCAAAGCAGAAATGGGGTTAGAGAGCTGGTGAGAGGGGCTGGAGGGAAGCTTCCTGGTCTTAGGGCAGGTTCGAGGGGGTTGTAGAGGGCGGGCTCTGGAGAAGAGGTTTAGATGTGTACCCCAGCCATGTCTCCTCTGACCTGCAGCCCTCTCAGGTTGGGGTCCACTCTTACCTAACTTCTACTCTTACCTCTGTTCCCTCCCAGCACTACTTCTCTGCTCATTTTCTTTCCAGGCCTTCAGGATGTCCGGTTTCCCCAGGATGAGGCTGTAGCCCCATCCAGTCCATTCTTGGAGGAGGATGAAGGGGGGAAGAAGGATTCATGGCTAGCTGAGCTGGCTGGGGAGCGCCTCATGGCTGCCACATCCTGCCGCAGCCTCCGTGAGAATCCTTTCAAGATTGTCCCACCCCCTCCTCCCCTCCTGTCTCAGGGGCAAGTTCTCCTAACTGCCACATGCTTCTGAGGATCCACTAATACCTCACCCAGATTATAAAGAAAAGCCCCCCCCCCCTTTTGGCTTCTGGCTCCAAGTCCTAGACATTCTCCAGTGTGGACTCCAGGCTTACAGTGTCCTATTTCCCCAGATCTATACAATATCAGTGATGGCCGAGGAAAAGTTGGGACATTTGGCATCTTCAAATCTGTATACAGACTTGGCGAGGACGTGGTGGGAACCTTAAACTTAGGGGAAGGAACTGTAGCTTGTTTGCAGGTGAGAAGGGAGAGGGGCTTATGGGACGCTGGGCCTGAAGGGCTAGGGTAGCAGAAGGGCCTGCATAAAGAGGGGTGGTATGTATAGTGGAGAGTGGGGTCTCTGGTAAAGCAGGCTGAGGTTGGGCTGCCCTCTCACCTAGAGTCGGCAGTTCCCAGTGCCTGCTAGCACACTTTTCTTGCTCCCAGTTTTCAGTAAGTTTGCAGACCGAGGAGCGTGTACAGCCAGAGTACCAGCGGCGCCGCGGGGCAGGGGGTGCCCCTTCTGTGTCCCATGTGACTCATGCCCGACACCAGGAGTCCTGCCTCCATACAACCAGAACCAGCTTCTCCCTCCCCATCCCTCTCAGCTCCACCCCAGGCTTCTGCACTGCCATTGGTGAGACCCTGACCATTATCGGAGGTGGGGAGAGAGCAAAATACTGTCCTTAGATACAATGTAATGGATCCTGATTCTTAACACTCGGACACACATCCAGTTTCTGACCCTTAACACTCTATTAGATCTTCAGCCTGTTTCCTAGATGCACTGACCCCTACACGCTTAACAGCTTTGGAGCTCTCCTTCCCTACCCATTCTCACAGGGACCTGTAATTCACTGATCGCTGATTCCCGAGCCCCTTTAACTTTAGGCTATCACATCTTGACTGTCTCACATTTGGGCTGTTAGATTCTTGACATTGCTGTCCTTATTGTCACATTCTGGTTAACACACTAGATTACTTTGAAAAACCCCTTGATCCTAGCTCCCTGTCCTGTGATTTTCCCCCCTCCTCCCAAATACAGGTTTTTGCTAATTTGCTAACCATACCCTGTCATTGGCTTTTAATTCTAGCTTCTAATGCCTCTGTCTATGTCTTTTTTCCAGTGTCCCTGAAGTGGCGATTGCATTTTGAATTTGTAACATCCCGAGAACCAGGTTTGGTGCTCCTACCTCCTATGGAACAGCCCGAGCCTGTCACCTGGACAGGGCCTGAGCAGGTGCCTGTAGACACCTTCAGCTGGGACCTCCCCATCAAGGTGCTGCCCACAAGCCCGACCCTGGCCTCATATGCAGCCCCAGGCCCCAGTACCAGCACCATAACCATCTGAAACTGGCCCACCACAGCACTACTTTCTTCAGGATCCTGAGAACTCGGCACCTGGACTCTAGTAGGGCCCATTTTTTCCACCTGGGGCCCAATGACACGGACAATGAGAAGCAGGCTTTCAGCTGTAGCATTAATTTATTTATTCAGAATAAATTGGCAGCTGCTAGTGGTTTCCCTGGAAGTGGCAGCAGCAGTGGGCAGTCAGCAGAAGGGTGATCAGTTGAGTTTAGCCGGAGTGGGGAGCAGGAGCCCCAGGCACAGGGGTATTAGCCGAGCCCCACTCTGGGTCAGGCCCTCCCCCTTTGCAGGGCAGCCGAGGGTCAGATTTTTGTACCAGGGAGAATTGGCAGGTTCCTGCCTCCTGTCGTACCTCACACTCAGCAGGGAAGTCGATGGGATGCTGGGACCTGGGGACCCAAAGGATGGGGAAGGAGTCAGCACAGTGAAGGGCCACCTTTCCCTCCCCACATTCCCTTTCTCCCAGCAGTCCTCCCAGATCTTCCCCTGGTGCCCCTTTGATCCCCCTAACTAAATTCTCACCTACCATAGTTGGATTTTTTTCATTTCATAGCAGCAACTTCCTTCTCGATCCACCCCTACCTCCCTCACTTTGTAGCCTGAAGCTTTCTCTCTCACACCCTTGTTACCTTCAGGTTTGGTCGGCCTCACACTGCTATTCTGTTCATTCTAACATGACAGAATCTAGTTGTGCCCTGGCCATCTCTCCCATCAGAGCCATTCTCTCTGGCCATTTCTGGTCACTCACGTGTCACAGCAGCCCACTCCGACAGGATGCAGGCAGGTGCAGTGGAAGCAGTCCTTGCGGAGCCAAGACTCACCCAGGGTAAAATATTTCCCTTCATAGTGGCAGGGGGCTGGGGAAGAACAGGAAATGTTAGTGTATCGGGGAGCAGTGGCGGCAGATAGAGTCTTCCTGGAGCAGGAGAGAGCTACGGGCACACTCTCCCCAGAGTTAGTCTTTCCTTTTTTGAGTGACCCCGGATCATCTCTAAGCCCCCCTCCAATCAGTGAATGCCCTCTGCTCCTTTTCCTTTCCTAATGCCTCACCCAGCGTTACCTTGAGCTTGGAAGTAGCATTTGCTGTGGACTCCTGGGTGCTGAAGGAGCAGAGATATCACCAAGCAGATGATCCTCCAGCCTCCCAGGATCCCCTTAGCCTGTCCAGCCCAGAACATCCTTAGGGCCATTTCTGGAGCACAGCCCTTTCGGACCCTCTTGGCTTCTGGTCAGGCTACTCCGGTCTTGTCTCCTTGGCTCTTCTTTGTTTCTCTCCTCGAGTCTTAGTGTCTGTCTTTTCCCCTGGGCTCCTGTCTCACACCATCTCCGTGCCCTCTGCTCTCACAGGCTTGGAGATGTTTATAAAGTGAGGACCCTGGCCCCCTGCTGAGTAGAGCTGGAAAAGCTGTAACTCTGTTTCCTGGGGTGAGGGCATGAAAACAAGAGGTCCAGCTTTAACAAGCTGTGAGAGCTGATTCATGCCCCTGCACAGCTAGGGGGAGGGAGGTGGCCATGGAGGGGGCACTGGACTGGGCACTCCCCCAGCAAGGAGGTGGGAGGGGTGAGGGCCCTCAGGTGGTCCCCAGATCTCTGACCTGGAGAGAAGGAAGCATTCCACCATCTCCCACCCCACCCCACCCCACCCCACCATACCACACACACTCTCTCCAGGGGTGGATGTGCTGGGATCCCTGCCTGGACCGGAGGGAGGCATTTCCTGGGGATGGCTAATCCTGTGCCCCAGCCAAACCCAGGAGCTGCTGTAGGGTGCGACGGCCAGAGGCTCCAGGAGAGCAAACAGGCACCTGGAGTGGAGACTGTTTCTCTCAGACCCCAGGGCAGGGTCTCCCTGAAGTATCCTAGATACATGGCTCCCCTGAGATGGGGGTCAGGGGGTAGGTTGTCTCTTTTCCACAGGCATCCAGAGATGGGCTCTCCATTGTTCATCACCCAAACATATAGCAGATACGCAATCTCCCCGTCTGGATGGTTTTTCAGAGGGACGTTTCCTCCAAATGCTCTAACGTAGGAGTCGCCTGTTTCCCAGAGGTGCCCCTCTCTCCTGTATGTTATGGAGGGAGGATTTAGGAATTTACCCCTTGACATACTCTTCTGGGTTTCCTGCAGGTTGTGGAGAACCCGAGATGGGTGATTAAGAGCAAAGGTTGCAGAGTCAGACTACTTGGATTCAGATCCTGACTCCACTTAAGAGCTATGTGACTTTTGGCAAGTTACTTCACCTCTCTAAACCTGTTTCCTTATCTATAAATTGGGATGGTACTACTCGTAGGGTTGCTTAGAATATTAAATGAGATCATGCATGTTATCTGTCCCCAGCACATAGCCCTCAGAAAATATTAGCTACTGAGGTTGGCGCTAGAGCTCAGAGACAAAATGGGTAGATATTCCTTTTAATGACATTGAGCTTCTGCTGTCTCCAGGCATAGACTCATGTCCCTTTCACACTCATGCTCCATATCATCCCTACCACCTCCTTTAAAAACTACCTCCAGGAGCATTTTGGTTTTTGGTTTTGGTTTTTGTATCTTTGAAATTCTAAGTGTTTGGTTTGAGCAACAGTGTTGCTGATAAAACTGTTTTCCCTAGGCCAGTACCCTCACTTCTACCCTGGAAAGAGAGATTTTCTTATCCTAGCAGCGCACTTAGTACTGCTTTTTCTTATGGATTTTGTTCCATTTCTTCCCATCCTCACTCATGCAAACTCTCACGTTCTCCTTTCTGATCACTCTAATGCTGGCCATCTCTTTGGTACCAATGTCCTCTGGCTAAACTGGATTTCTTTCACTTTTCTACACGCCACAGGCTCCTATTCCAGGGAGTCCCCTCCTACCGACAGGGCCAGTCACGTTGGCATGGATTTTATTTTTCCATCCAAGTCTCTAGTCCCATTTACCCCGAGACTCCTTGTCACCCAGTGGGTCAGATATAGCTACTCTGGCTGACTTCTGTAGAAGGTTACCCTGCCTCTCCGCTCTTCACTATTCAGAAGCAACTCATCAGTCCACCTCAAATTCCCTATCTGTCCTCTTCCAAGGAGACAGCTTAAGTGGAAGGAGATGCAGACTGTACCACACATTCACCCTCATCAGGGCTGATAGCCTTTCCACGTTAGAGGAGTGCCGAGAGAGAGAGAGAGAGAGAGAGAGAGAGAGAGAGAGAGAGAGAGAGGAGGAACCTCATGGCTGAAGCAGGGTGCCCTGATGTAGGCTGGCGTGTGGGAGGCATGGCCTTGGACTGCTCTGTTGGCTGGAGCAGGTGGATTAGGAAGCCTGTCTACCACAAGGGCCCAGCAGCCTGGTTCGTGGTCACTAGCTCTGCTGCTGCCTTTCTGTGCGAGGGACACTAGCTGACACCTGAAGTCTGGATCATGGACTACCTTCTGCCCCTGCAGCCTGGAGCCAGCCTAATAGGGGGCGACACTAGTGGAGAGCTAGAGAGCATGCAGGTGGTGGCGGTGATGCTGGAAGGCGAAGGGGCCCAGTGGGGATTGGCATTGATGGGGGGGCATGGCGACAGAAGTGAGAACTGCCTGTAATGAAGATGAGGTAGGAGTAGGGGGCTCCTGGGAAGAAAGGCTGGGGCTGAGCCAAGATCCCTCTCCCAGAGTCGGGGAGTGGCGGGAAGGTGTTGGTTGAATCCATTTGCATGTCTATTGGTGTGTGTGTGCGAGCGCATCTGTGTAGGTTCTTGGGGCTGGAGGCCCAGCTTTTGAGTGTGTGTGTAGGAGTGTTAGTTATTAGGGCTCAACCCCGTGATTCCTGATTCCTGCGGCCTCCGAGATGCCAGTTGAGGGGGCGCCTCGGTTGGCGCGCGGGGGCGTTTGGCGCGCGCCGCCAGCGCGGGGACAGAAAACATCCGCCGGAGGCCCGGCCAGGCAGCGCTCCAGCAGCACCGGGCAGGTGCGCGGTGAGGAAGTGAGCGCATTCCGGCCCCCCAGCCGCCGGCCAGCCCTCGGGTGAGTCACCGCTGACCCCCACCGCCTTGGCCGGATAGGAAGGATTGGCTGCGGCCGCGGGGAGGTTTGGGGAACCGGAGTTCCAGAGGGGTGGCTGCGGGGAGCACCTGGAGGGTGGTGGAAGCACCCGAGAGAGTTGGGGAGCGGCGAGGGGGTGCTGAACGTCCAGGTTCTGGTTCCGCCCCAGGTGGGAAAGACCTAATAGAGGCCGAGTGCAGAGCTTGTGCCTGAGTGGAGCAGGTGGGAACGAGCCCCTGGGAGAACGTCCTGGATCAGGGAGAAGGCCCTCGCGTGGGGAGGGAAAGGGGCCCGGGCAAATCGGAGAATCCGAGTCCGGAGGCCCAGAAAGGGAGGGAGGGTTGCAGCGCAATGAGGACGGGCGAGTTGCCGGACGACACCTCGCCAGTGTAGGCCTTGGCCAGCCAGAGCCTGTAGGTGGAAGGAGACTGCCATGTCAGGTAGGCAGGTGGGGATGGCCAACCCCTAGAGAGAGAAGGTCGGTCAGGAGGTCTGTGCACTGGGAGAGTGAAGAGTAGGGTTAGGGAGTGGGGGGAGTTAAGGTTATTTGGGTGCAGTTGTGGCTAGGTCACGAAAGGCTTTAAACACACACACATTTTTATTGATTTCAGAGAGGAAGGGAGAGGGAGAGGGAGAGGGAGAGAGAGAGGAACATCAATGATGAGAGAGAATCACTGATTGGCATGTGCACCTACCAGAAATCCAAGGTGACCTCCTGGTTCATAGGTCAATGGTCAACCACTGAGCCAGGCCAGCCCAGCTCATTAAAGGCTTTGAATGCAGATGTGAGGAATTTGGTTTTGTTCTCTGAGTAGGAAGAGTAGTGAATGGCTTAAAAGGCAAGATTATTTGTATCTAGCTTTATTGCCTGCCATTAAGTCTTTGTAAAAAAAAGAGAGAGAGAGAGAGATTGATTTGCAACTTTTTATAGCTATTTTAAATTGCATGACTATATTTATCAAACAATTTAAATCTGTTGAATTTTTTTAATAATTGAAAAATTTGACTCAATTTCTGATTTGAAATCCAAAGTGAGGCTACCAAGATGTTATATAGTGTTGAGCCTTCCTTTGTCTTGCCTCCATTTTCCCCTCACTGATTTGACTGAATTCCATGTCTTTAATGTCTCCGTTTTCTGTATCAGTAGCATAGCCCTTCTAGTTTTCCTCTCCCTCATATTATGGTCTTTATTTATTTTTTATATATATTTTTATTGATTTTTTACAGAGAGTAAGGAGAGGGATAGAGAGTTAGAAACATCGATGAGAGAGAAACATCGATCAGCTGCCTCCTGCACACCCCCCACTGGGTATGTGCCCGCAAGCAAGGGACATGCCCTTGACCAGAATCGAACCTGGGACCTTTCAGTCCGCAGGCCGATGCTCTATCCACCGAGCCAAACCGGTTAGGGCTATGGTCTTTATTTTTAACCTTAATTTTTTTTCTGTCCAGTCCTTTAACCTGCCCTATGTATCCTGAACCAAGTAAAACATTTCTTGGGATGGAGGCATTGGGCTACAATGTACAAAGACAAGTAACTCTGTTTTACCATATATGTTAGGTTACATACTATCTTCTGTGTCTTTGTATGTAGCTACAAAGTTTCTATATTTTCCCTGTGGCTGATAAAGAGAGAAAGCTAAAGCAGTTTTTTAAAAAAATATATTTTTATTGATTTCAGATAGGAAGGGAGGGGGGAGAGAGATAGAAACATCAATGATGAGAGAGAATCATTCATCAGCCGCCTCCTACATGCCCCCTACTGGGGATCGAGACTACAACCAGGCATGTGCCCTTGACCAGAATCGAACCCAGGACCCTTCAGTCCCCAGGCCACACTATCCACTGAGCCAAACCAGCTAGGACCTAAAGCAGTCTTATTCATGACAGTATTTCTACAGCATAGCAATAAAGTCCAATTTCTCTTCTAAAACCAACTCTAAAATGGTATTTGGTATTTGTCTCAAACTCATTCTAATTCTGTTATGGTCTTTATAATTTATGTTACCTTGGGCCAATAGCAATTATAAGGATTAGGATCTTTATAATTTATTTTTAAGATTCTTAAACCCTACAGTTGCCTTTGGCTCCAAACAAGAAAATCTGGGTCAGTTAATTAAAAAAACAACAACACCCACTTTGAGCCCAGTTGCTTTCTCCTGTGCTGTTTCAGCTCCAGCCCTACCTTATTCCCAGTGGCCTTTGCCTTCATTCCTTCTTTGCTCTGCTGGGCATCTTTAAAGGAAAACTTCACACCAACTTCCTCTACTATAAATTCTCCCTCCCCTCAATTCTACACTTCTCTTTGCCAACATACACCACTGCTTCTTCAGTGAATTTTTTTTTTTTAAGCTCACAGCCCTTTCTGGCTCTTTTCCATCTTTAACACTCTTGTTGAAATCTCTTTTCCTCTCCTTTCTCTTTGGGAAGACTTCAGATTTTTAAAAGGTAATGCTTTATTTATTCTGCATGATCCACTTCTATCTTCTTTGCTCTTCTATCACCTTTTTCTTATTCTGGATTGTTTGTAAAATCTATCATGCTTGCTTTCACCAAGGCTTCGGCCTTCCCTTTGTGATTAAACAGTCTTCTAGATATAGCAAAAATGCTTATGTTTCCTTATTTTTCCTATAAGAAAAAAAGTTTTCAAATTCACATCTACTTCAGTCTCTTTTTTCCACATTCTGCATCCAGACGCATGGCCATTATTGTAAAATCGACTGAAGCCTGATGTTGGGCAGGGCACTGTATAATGAACTTCATAATCTGAGTGTCAGATTCCTAAATGCTTGCCAGTAACAGAGGTTTTCATGTGTGTGAATAAATGTTTTCATGTACACACACAGACTAAAATGCACAGAAAATAGAACCGTAAGTCAATATAAGTATAATATAAGTATATGAACATGGCCCTGGTTGGTGTGGCTTGGTTGGGCGTCACCCTGTACACCAAGAGGTCACCGGTACGATTCCTGGTCTGGGCACGATCCCCAGTGTGGGTCCTGCAGAAGGTAGCTGATCAGTATTTCTCTCTCTCCCTCTCCCTCTCTCTCTCAAATCAATTTTTTAAAAAATGGTGGTGTCTGGGCCAATCTCCAGAGACTTGATTTAAAAAAATAAATAAAAATGAATATGTGCCCTAACCAGTTTGGCTCAGTGGATAGAGCATCGACCGGCGGACTCAGGGGTCCCAGGTTCGATTCCGGTCAAGGGCATGTACCTTGGTTGCGGGCACATCCCCAGTGGGGGGTGTGCAGGAGGCAGCTGATTGATGTTTCTAATTCTCTATTCCTCTCCCTTCCTCTCTGTAAAAAATCAATAAAATATATTTTTTAAAAAAATGAATATGTGTTTAGTATATTACATTATAATCAGACCAAATATATTTTAGGGTGAAAGATGAGGATGGGTAAATTTATAGCTAGAATAGAAGTTTAAGAGACAGCACCGTTTGGCATTCTGTATTCAGACTGGAGAAGGCTGAGAGGGGAGAGTCATTCCTGTGAAGATGAAGAGACTTCATGAAAGAGGCTGTGTTTCAGGAGCTGAGAGAGACTTGTAAGGCTGTGATGAATGGTAGTTGGGTGGGAGGGAGGGCCCAGAGTTTCAAGAACATACAATTGCTATACCCAAACAGCCCAGTGTTCTCTCTGGCAGAGAATATAAAAGATGATATGGTTGTAGTCTGGATTTCAACTATAGTTAAGTTTCTATTAATAACCCATATTGAAGTTTTCCTACCCCACCTCTGGAACCATTCTCACCAATTTTTTTTTTTTTCCTGCTTGCACTCATAATTAACCACCCTCTAATTTAACTGAATTCCCTATTTGCTTTTATTTTTCCTGCCTGCTCCACAATCTGCTTATTGCAGTAGTGACTTTTAAAATTCCATTTATGAGACTCTCGCTTTTATCTCATTGATAAATTGCTCTTTTCTTAAAATTATAGACTCAAACTAAATAGGCAAAATGCATCTAGTTCTCATCGCTGGAAGGTGACCGAGTAGGTTTTGCTTGATTGTCTCTACCGAAAGGAGTGCGTTACTTCCTCCTGCAGTGGGGGCTGCCAGTTCTACTATCTAGCTTTAGTTATCTCATATTTTCCCTTAGTTTTGCTTTTTGAAACAGTATGGAAGAAATTTTTCTTTTCAGTGTGGCAGCTCTTTAAAGATTTGAAAGGGGTTTGTATTTTGTCTGTGTATTTTTCTCCTCCGGCATGTCCAGTAGAATTTTCTGCACTGATGGAAATGTCCCCTGCCTGTCCTGTCTAATGATTAGCCACCAGCCCCTTGGAAATGTGGCTAGCGTGATGTGACTACGAAACAGAATTCTAATTTTACTTAATTTTAGTTATTTAAGTTTAAATAGCCAGATGAGGTGAGTGACTCTTGTGTTAGCGAGCTCTAAAAACTCTGGAACTTAGTACTTCATCACTGGCTGTCTTTTGGCTGTTCCAAAAAAATCTTATGGTCACCTCAAACACAGGAAAACACGCGAAACTGGGCTCTTGTCTGTTTGGAGGCCAGTCTTACACGTTGGCACAACCTAGAAAAAAACACAAACCTAACCTCTAGAGTCCTGATAGTGTCAGTTTTTTTATTTCTTTATTGATTAAACTATTACATATGTGTCCTTATCTCCCCATTACCTTTTTTTCACCCCCCTGTTGTCTGTGTCCATTGGTTAGGCTTATATTGATAGTGTCAGTTTTTATTGAAGCTTTCTTAGGAGGGGTAAAAGATGAAGGTTTCCTGTCATCTTCCATAACTCAAAGCAAAACTTAAAAAATTCCTTATTCAATCTCTCTCTTTCCCTAAGGGAAAGAGCCCCTGAAGTTCCTCTCCATAATGCCTGCCAAATCCCTCCCTTCTCTTTTCTCTCACAAACGACTTTCCTCCTCTTTGAACCTTACTCCTCCATTCTCTGTGAGCACCACGTCTGCCCTCTTCCCTTTCGAGGAGAGCTCTTAGGTGTGTCTCCAGCTCCTCTTCCCTTTTATGATCTCTGCTCAGTAAATCCAGGGAACTTCTGGACTCGTCTTTCTTGGGGGTGATTGTGGCTAGGAGGTCATAAGTAACTTCTTTTCCTTTCTCACATAACTCTTGATCTCCTTCTAGAAGCCCTCTCATTTTCTTTTCTTGTCATTGCTGAACAGTCTTCAGCATTCTTTTTGCAGAAGTTTCTCTAACATCTTTTCATTCCAGATCTATGCTTAACAGATCCTAAAGCTACTTCTTCACAATTCCTTTATCCATTTGTCTTTTAAAATTATTTTGCTTATATATTATTTGTAATAAGCTTATCACCTCTTCACCAGCCTTCTACATTGCATAGGCTGCCTCCGCCGGGGGAGCAGCATTCATTTCCCACTGCTGTCCCCAGTGCCCTTCGTCCCTGACTCCCTTCCCTGCTCACCATTGTTGTCCACGCATCCCTCCCAGTATTGTCTGTTCTTCTCATCTCCTCCTTGTCCATATTTATAATAACGTTCACTATTTTTAAAAGATCATTTTTGGGTTCTCATTTTTTCCAGGGGCTCTCCCCTAAGTCTCTGTCCTGTGACATAAAACTGCATGCAGCATTGATCTCTGTGGGTTGGGGGAGATGGGGTTGAGGGGCAGAATATCCTCTCAACCATGGCGCTAATGTGGGCTGGATATTCTTCTGTCGGGCGGGGAGACTATCCTGTGCACTGCGGGATGTTTAGCAGCACCCCAGCCTCTACCCTCTAGACATCAGAGGTACCCTCTCCATTGTGACAACCCAAAATACCTCCAGACATTGCCAGATGTGCCCTGGAGGGCAACATTTCCCCACCCTCTCCTCTTGTTGAGAACTGCTGTTCTAGAATATCACCTTTCTGAAGTTGATAGATGGTTATACTTTTTCTTCCCAATTTGTGATTTGTTTGCTTAGCCTAGATTTTTAAAAGTGTGGTTTTTGTCTTACTTGGTAGGAGGGAGCCTCTTAAAATTGCAGGTTCCCGATCTCATCCGAGGCCTACTGAATCAGAAATTCTGGAAGTGGAATTTGGAAATAAAATTTTTACAAGGCAGTACCCCCAACCCCTTCCCAAACAGGTAATTCTTATGCCCTGGGCTTGACCTTCCTGTGGTATAACTGCTGCATTACCCACATTTTTTTCCTGCAGGTCTTCCTGGTTGCTCCAGCTTTGCTTCCGCTCTTGGCCTCATGATGCCAACACAAATAGGGAGGCCTCAGGTTACCCGGACAACTGGAGCACAGGAAACCGTAAAGGCGCAGCCCTCCCACAAGGAATCAGACTGTGGCCATGCCCGCTTGCTTTCACCGAAGGGACTCAGTCATACTTCCTACTCCCCGTTCTCCAACTACCCAGTATAGCAGATACCCAGGCCCAAGTCACAGACCCTGGTTTTTCAGACCTGGTAGTGGAATATGGAATGAATGGGATGAAGAAAGGTGAATGAACCTTTTTCACATTGATAGTCCATGTTACCTTGGTGATAATTGAGTTTTGTACTGGTGAGAATTAGATTCCCCTGAAAGTTGATAAGATTATGAGCTGTAGAGTCACAGTTGCTTCATTGGACCTTGAGTCTTGGATCTCTTTGCATTCCTGGCTAGATGTTTTTACAATTGGCTTTGGGTCAAAGATTTAGCAATCTACTTCTGATACACTGGGAGCAGTGTATGTTTAGCAAGAAAAGAATAGTCAACGTATTATGAATTTGGGTTCTATTTACATTTCATTACGAAACTAGACATTTAAAGGAAGAGTATCTGTTTTGATTAAGTATTTAAGCATTTGTACATCATAAGCATCTATAGAAACAAGCAGCAGAGCTTTTTTAAATTCAATTCAAAATACTGTGGCAGTTAACTGGTTAAACCCACAAGTAAATGAAAATCTACTTGCATTTAGATGCTTAGAAACTGTTGAATTGATCCAAAACCAGAGTAGGCCACCTCCGTGGACCATGCATGGCAGGTCAGAGCGAGAGAGAATCAAGGCAGACTTGATAGCCCTTTTCCAACAGTGGAAAGACTGTCCTGGGGAAGGGTTAGAATGGTTCCAGAGGTGGAATGCAGACCTTTATTTCAGATAGCAGTGATGGGGCACAGACTTTGGCTTAATAAGGAAGAACATTTAAGTAGTTAGAGGACCTCAAATTGGAATGAGCTGACATTAGGCAATGAATTACTTGTGACTGAATTGTTTATATGGAGGTTAGATGATCATTGCACAAGGTTTGGATGAGATTTTGGACATTAATTTGAGTTTGGCCTATAAAGGGAAGCAGGCAAATTTATTGGAAGTCAGTTCACCCTTTCTATTACATGATTTTGTGGCAGCTATTAACGTCATTACTATTTTCCTGGGTACCTCTCTTTGCTAATTTTACCCCTTGAGTCATTGAATATTAGAGCTGATAGTAGAGTCTTTAGAGATTTATCAAATGTTGTTCTCTAGTCCTCTGGCGATTCCTCAAGAATGCCTCAAGGGTGGCTGAGAGGTGAAATTAAGGATAGCTGGCACTATTAGCCTGTTAGCCATGCTTCTGTGAGAACAATCTTGCCTTTAAAATTTTTTTCCAGAAAAAAAAAGAGTTCTGAAAAATACTCTTAGAGGCCCCAGTATTCCAAGTTCTTCATTTTATTGACAGGAAAACTGAGATATGGAGCAGAGAAGTGCCTTGCCAAAAGGTCACATAGCTAATAAATTTCACAGTTGGAATTCAAATCTAGCTCTTCTAATTCCAGTCATTTGTGTTTTTTCCCCCCTCTACTAGTCTACCTTCTTATAATTCAGTAAAAGTTTCTCTCCATTTCACTGGCCACAACAATAGTCCAGAATTTTATTTCTTCAGCTTTACTATTTCCTATTCGTCACTGAGCTGGTCTCCCTGTTATCCAATCTCTCCTTCTTCTGGTCTATATCATATACACTGTTGCCATGTTATTCTTCATGAAACATGGTCTTCATCATGAGATTTCCCTGCTTAAGAACCTTCTCTGTATTGCTGAAAGGAACTTTTCAGCCTGACACATTGTTAACATTCTTTAGGATCTTCATTGTTCAGCTAAGCTGAGCCCAAGTCCATCCTATTATGGGTAATTAATGGGCCATATAATAGTGAGATTAATTGAGCCCCACCCTACCTCTAGACTCCAACTTTGGCAGAATTTTTATGTGTACAGTTTTAATTAGGGATAACGAGAAGATACAAAAGAAATAGAAGACTGGAAAAAAAATAGATTTCATAAAAAGAAGTTGCATAACAATGTTTTATATAATCCTATTTGTAGTACACATACATACATAAAAAAACACACAAAAATGAGGTGTATAGAAATTGGAAGAAAACACACCAAATTGATAAGAGACCTTAACTTTGATGAGGTGGATTGAGAAAGGAAAGGGGATGGGGAGGAATAAAAAATATATTTTAAAAAGTATTTCTTCCCAGTCTGTGGCTTGGCTTTTTATTTTTAATGATTTTTTAAAAAAATGAATATTTCAGTCTCATCATGGCTTCTTTTATATTGCCTTTTTATTTTCTTTATGGAGTCTTTTGAAGAGCATAAATTTTAAATTTTTTCCTTCTTTCTTGTATGGCTATTGCTTTTTTTGTGCCCTACATAAGAAATCTTTGCTTACACCAAAGTGACAAAGTTTTTCTCCTATGTTTTCTTCTATATCTAGAAGTTTTAGCTTTTATATTTCAGTCTTTTTATGTTTATGATTCATTTTGATCATTTTCTTAACTTTCTCCTCGCAGCACAACAGGTGCAATAGGAAAAGACAAATCTGAAATGAAGATTACCTCTCTCAAAACAGACATGGTAGGATATAAACATTAGCTTTTTCTGTGTATTGTCTTCATCTACTATTTATTAAGTATTAACGATTCACTAGTAAAATATATATCAGTCACCTACTGGATCAGGCGCTGGCAATACAGTGATGAAAACACTAGACAATGTCCTTGCTCCATGGAGTTTACATTTTAATGGGAGTGGTTGTGTTATTTTTTTAAAAATATATTTTATTGGGTTGTTTTTTACAGAGAGGAAGGGATAGGGATAGAGAGTTAGAAACATCGATCAGCTGCCTCCTGCACACTCCCCACTGGGTATGTGCCCGCAACCAACGTACATGCCCTTGACTGGAATCGGACCTGGGACCCTTGAGTCCACAGGCCGACGCTCTATCCACTGAGCCAAACCGGTTAGGGCGGGAGTGGTTGTGTTTTAGTGAACATCCCATTGTATGATTGGCAAAGTCAAGAAAATGTTATTGTGATTCCTCAATTGAAGGAAGAATTTCAGTTCCTTGGCAAACTACTTTATCTTCCTGTATGATAGAGCAGGAAGAACCTTTTTCCACAAAGGGTCACTGATTAGTTGAGAAAAGGGACTCAGGCTACATCTAGTCAGCTACAGTGCAATATGGGGAGTGGCATCATAGAACAGGGTGGAAAATCATAGTAAGTGAGCTCATGCTTCTGTTACTGTTGAGGAATAGTGACCAGACTTAATGCTCTCTTCTTTAAAAAAAAATTCTTTCTATTAATTTCAGAGAAGAAGGAAGAGGGAGAGAAAGATAGAAACATCAATGATGACAGAGAATCATTGATCGGCTGCCTCCTGCACACACCTGACTGCGGATTGAGCCTGCAACCCAGGCATGTGCCCCCACCTCCTAGTTCATAGTTCGACGCTCAACCACAAAGCCACACCAGCTGGGCTCTTCTCTTTTTTAAAAAAATAATCTTTCTTTTCTTTCAAATTAAAAGATAAAGTTTATTTTTTATTTTTTTGTTTGTTTGTTTGTTTGTTTATGTTAATCCTCACCCGAGGATATTTTTCCACTGATGCTTATTTCCACAATATCTCATATTTGCTTTTTTTAGAGTGGAAGAGAGGGAAAGACAGAGATATACGATGTGAGAGAAGAACATCGATTGGTTGCCTCCTGCACGAGCCCTGAGGGCTCAGGCGGGGAGGTGGGGGGAGAGCCTGCAACCAAGGTATATGCCCTTGGAATCGAACCCAGGACTCTTTGGTCCGCAGGCTGTCACTCTGTCCATTGAGCCAAACTGGCTAGGGCAATACTCTCTAATTAAGCAAAAACAATTTGTTTTTTGTTTCAGTCCCATTTAAAAAAAAATATATATTTTATTGATTTTTTACAGAGAGGAAGGGAGAGGGATAGAGAGTTAGAAACATCGATGAGAGAGAAACATCGATCAGCTGCCTCCTGCACACCCCCCACTGGGGATGTGCCCGCAACCAAGATACATGCCCTTGCCTGGAATTGAACCGGGACCCTTGAGTCCACAGGCCGACGCTCTATCCACTGAGCCAAACCGGTTCTGGCTGCATTCTTATTCTCATTTATTTTTTTTTTTTTTTTTTTTTTTTTTTTTTGCCAAAAGAGTTCACTGATAGTATCTTCAGAGAACTGCTAGACCTCTTTTCTGGTGGCCAGAGCACCAGGTATCTCTATAGGTAACCATTCACATTTTCTTTAAAACAAGTCATGCTCTGTGTTAATGATACCACCTTTCTTCAAGCCACTTCAAGTGTCAGTAATAAGTGCTATTTACTATCAATATTTATAAACCAGTATTAATATTAAGTAACCAGGTAAATGATGTTAATTCAAAGCAGGGTAAAGCCACTATAGCCCAGGTGACTTTCATAGAAGAAATAAAGCTTGAACTAATTCTGAGAGGATTTTGGTAGATACAAATAAAGAGGGCAGATTAATTTGGATTGATGGATTTGAGGAAGAAGAAATTAACGATTATTCATGGTGTGGCTCCCCTTTCATCTATCCAGAGCAGACATTATTAATTGATCATGCACTCATTCTTGCTGAGCGTGGGCACAGACTGGTAAGCCTGGAACTAGATATCGGGGCAGGGGGCGGGGGGGAATGTAGATTTTAAATGGAGAGATATTTTGAAAGAGGCATCAGTGAGACTTCTTGAAAACGTCTGACCCTGGAAGTCAAGATGTGGGGCATTTTCATGTGCAAAGGGGAAGCCCTTGGTGCAGAGACTACAGGAACAGTTTCTGTTCATATGTGCTCAGTACACAGACATCGGAGGGGTGTGATAGGCATTACAACCAGACTCAGAAAAAGAATGCCAGGGGAAGACAGTGCAATGGATTCTGCCACAGGGCACCACTCAGGGATCCTAGAGTTGTACCAGCTACAGAGTTGGGCCATGATCGCCAGCAGTGTAAGCAGCAAACAGGGCGAAGAAACATTGCCCTGGGTATGGGAGGCCAGAGGACCACTTGCTCAAGTTCACCTCTTTCCTGCTGCTGCAGAGTCCCCTTCCCCTCGTACATGCAGATCCGTCTCAGGGAGAGAAGCAGGGGAGAGGCGGCTATCTGAGAGACCAAGCACTTTTTATTCAAGAGAGTCTGAGCAGTGCCTTAAAGACTGTCTAAATGATCAGGTCAGACTATGTTAAACTGATCTGAGGACTTCTGAAAGGTGTGGGATCCCAGCTGTGAAGATGTAGTAGACCTTTAGGTGAGCAGCGTGTACCAGTTAACTCATACCATCATTGACGAGGTAAGGCAGGAATGATGCAGGCCTGTGTCCCTGTTCCCATCTGAGGTAAGTTAGGATAGATGCCAGAGGCATGTGGCCTAGCTGAGCAGGTAGCTCCGTGCATGCAGCTGCAGGGGGCTGCTTACTCATGTGTACCTGCCTCAGCACCAAGTGTCCCAGCACCGGCCACACCCGTTGCCAAGGAAGAACCATGTGGTTGAAACCCATCCATGATACCTGACCCTGTCAAGCCTGTGAGGACAGATTCTTGTGGTCTGCTATTTCTGTCAGCGCCCACCTTTAAAAAAAAATCTTCTTCATTAAATTTTGAGAGAAAGAAACATTGATGTGAGAGAGAAACATCGATCAGTTGCCTCCCACATGTGCCAGCAACTTGGGTATGTGCCCTGACCAAGAGTGGAACACGCCACCTTTTGACGAATGGGACAATGCTCCAATGAACTGAGTCACACCAGCCGGGGCTGTCGGCACCTACCGTTTATTTCTCCTCATCTGGAGCTTTCCACCATACGCTTTTCTCCTTGCCAGGATTGGTCAGAAATTAGCCCGAAATTGCTGTCTTCCTATTCCCCAAATCTGTGACCTTTATGTTCTGGGTACTGGATGCAAGGGATGCCTGTTGCCCTGATCTTATTTCAGGACCTCTGACTAACATACCCTGAGTGTAAAGAATGAATTTGCAAGCCCAGCGGCGTCTTGCAATTCCTACATCGGAGAAGCTTAAGGGCAGAAATCTGACTGGAAGGGGAGGGAGGCAGATTAATCTTGAAGGTGAGTCCACAGAGTCATGTGATTTGCTGACAAGGACTGACCACCAGAAAAGTAAAAAATATGTGATTAATAAAAATACGTACTTTGTTGCCTGACTGGTGTGGTTCAGTTGTTGAGCGTCGACCTAGGAACCAAGAGGTTACAGTTCGATTCCCGGTCAGGGCACATGTGCAGGTTTCTGGCTCGATCCCCAGTGGGGGTCATGCAGGAGGCAGTTGATTAATGATGTTTGTCTTTCATCGATGTTTCTATCGCTATATCCCTAAAAATCCTCTCTCTCTAAAAATCAATAAAAAACATTTAGAAAAAAATATGTACTGTATTCATATAAGTGAGCTTTGTAAATGTGGAATCTAGGACCTTTTTAAGAATCTTCTATTGGCTGATTACTTCATTTAGTTTCTTGCATCCCCAAACAAGGTATGACACCATTAACCTGACCACTTTAGACACGTGCTTTGCTCACTATTTATTTATGTATTTTTATTTGGTTTATTTTATGGGGAGGGGAAGGAGTTCACTGCCATCGATGCCCACAGCTCTTCCTCAGATGCTCCAAGCAGTCTTTCCCTTTGTGAGCTGTACTGTAAAATCCTATCATCGCTGTTGGGCAACATCAAAATACCTTATCTATGTAGCAATGACAGAGCACATGCCCACACCCAATGAAGTAAGGTCATGCCCCTGAAATTATCGCCATTGAGGTGGCAGGTGATGTCATGACTGTGGATAAACTCACCAAGGAAGTGAGTATGGAAAGGAGAATGCAGAAAGCTGAAATTACGGCATGGGGGCGGGAAGCCTACAGCTCAGAGGAGGAAGAGGGTCTTGCTGGAGTGAGAGAGCACCGGACAGTGAGATGGAAGGATGACTGGGATAATGAGCTGTGGCAGGAGCCATGGGAAGAGCTTCAAGAAGAAGGTGATGGTCCACAGTGTCAAATGTGATTGAGGTATAATGGAGGGACTTACCATGATCTATAAACTGGGAACTTCACTGTGTTCTTCCTGATTGTTTATAAAAATTTTACACTAGGCTATTTAATTCAATTCAAGTATTTATTGAGCTGCATACTAACTGTGGTAGGGCT